TTGGCCCCCAAGCACAGGGTTACTCCCGCACAAGATCTTCGGCTCCTAGCCCGCCCGCCTCACCCAGCCTCGCTCCGACCAGTCGAGGTCACGAACAAGGCTACCCCTCCACCAGCAGCATAAATCTGTCTGCTGCTGCGCAGGCCCGTGCACCAAGTGCGTATCTAGAAGACCTTTTCGAGAATCATAACCCTCCTGGACGATAATATATTCTTTTCTTTTCGCTTCTCTTTTAATTTTTTTAAATATTTTTAAATAAAAATTTAGTTTATTTTTTGTTTTATTTTTATTTTAGTTAGAATATCATTTTTTATTCAAATAGTATTATAAAAGATAAATAATTAAAGTTTTTTTTATATTTTATTTTTTTATATTTAAGTTGATTATTTTTTTATATTAGTTTTTATATAAATTTTTTTTATTTTTTATATTTTTAATATTTTTTATAATATAATTTTTATATGTATTATTTTATTTTTAATTTTTTAATTAAAATTTTTAAAATTTTTATTTAAAGTTTTATTATTATTTTATAATAAAATTTTTAATTATATTATATTTTAAATATTATATTATATTATAAAGAGTTTTTTATAATTTTTTTTTTAATTTTTATATATTCTTTTAAAACATTTTATAAAAAAGTTATATTTTCTAAAAAATTAGAATTTATACTTTAAAATTAATACTTTTATATAATTTAATATTTTTTAAAGAATTAGCACTTTACAATCAATATTTTTTGAAAAATTATATTATCATATTATATTTAAATATATGTTTTATAACTTGAATAGTAATATTAGTAAAATTTTATTTAATTCAAAATAGATATAAATAGTATCAATAAATTAAATATTTTAATTAATATTATTAATTACTTAATATTAAAAAGCAAATACAAGTTGTATAAAAAGAAATTCTCCAAATTGCTAACTACTATAAAATAAAATATTAAACTTAATGAGAGAAAAGAGAATTTCAAAATCTACTCAAATTGTAAATAATTCATATAATTATATAACTGAATTATAAACAATTTATATAATATGAAGCAGAGTCAATATATGAAGCAGGGTCACATAATAAGAATAAATCTAATCTAATGTAAATGTTAAGTTTAATATCATTTTTCAATTAAGAAATATATATATTTTTATACTAATAGATTATTATTATTTTCATTTTTTAGATAATTATATCTCTCTTATATATTTAATTATTTATTTAATTATATCAGTGATTTAGCTTTTATAAAGTTAATCTCATAAAAATCTAATAATATATATAATAATTTTTTGAAGTTATTAACTAAATGTCATAATGAATTTTCATTAAATTTCTTTCAGTACATCTGATATTATATTTTATTTTGACTTATTTGATTGCTTAATATATACTCTATTTCTAATTTATTATCACTATTTATTTTGATTAAATATGATAGATTGATAATTTAATTAAATAAAGAGTTTTTAAATTTTTACGTAATTTGTTTAAGAATAAAATTAAATAAATTTTTATTATTTGTAAAGATTCAATTAATAGATATTGTTTACTTTTATCAGAATTTTAAAAAAATTAATATTCTGATCTACTAGTTTGCAATTTCATCAATTTATTATATATGATTTTAATATTAGATTAATAAAATCTTTTCATGAAAACACTGAGAGTGAATGAACTAAATGTCAAAAAAAGTATAAGAATCTCAATAACTAAGATTATAAAAAAGTAAAAATATAGACACTGTGAATACTATGAAGAGAAGAGAATAACAATAAATGAAATATATAATATAGAATTGAATAGTACTTAATCACTAAATCTTTTAAATAAAATATTAAGAATTCAGAATATTTATATATATAAATAAATAGTAATAAATTATATCTCTATTCTTTCATATAATGAGAAATTAATAATATAATGATTTAATTCTTCATAAAGTGCTGATTTTATTTTTCAGAAAGTGCTGATTCTAAAGAAATAATTTTTAAAAAGTGCTAATTTATAATAATTCTAAAGTGCTGAATCTTAAGATGATGCTGATTCTATAGAAGATATTGATTCTAAAATGCTTTAGTAGTAGTGTAAAAAGATGTTAATTCTTTAATAAAATCAATATCAGTATTAATACATTATGAAACTCTTAAATAAGCTAGCTATAACTATTAAGTGTGTAGATATACATGTCATAGATAGCTGAGATACTCATTAATGTCTTCTTATGCTACATAGAGGTTGAGCTTTATCATCTATTATCTAGCTGCTGAATTTTTCAAATTTATAATAAAAATTAAATACAGAAATTAGATATTAGTTTTTTTATTAAAAAAATCTTTATTATATATTTATACTGTAAATTTATAAAGAAAATAAGAAATTACTTCTTTAATTTATATTATCATTATATTCCCTTTTAAAGTTGCACAATAGTGTAAAAAAAATTTAACTATTTTTATCAATAAAATTAGATCTTTATTAATTCTATTTTCTTCATAAATTTATTATAAGTTGATTTTATCAGATTAATGATATTTTTATTATTTATCTATAATGTTGTATATATTTTTAACTTCTTTTTTATCTGATCTGCATCTTGCAACATGTCATTCAATTAAATAAACTTGTATATAATTTCAATAATAATTATATATTTAACTTTTATTGTTAATTTTGCAGTTAATATTTAATATTATAAATATCATAAAATTAAAAATTTATAAATTATAATGATGCAACCAGATATTGATTTATATTGAAAGTTGGCATTCACTCAATCTGAATTACAATAAGCAACTGACTGCAGATTTTCATCATCTTTTTCATTTTTGTAAACTATTGTCAAAGTTTTTATCTTTTTTAGATAATAAAAAATATAGTTGAAAGCTACTTAGCAGTTCTTATTTAGATATGAAATTAATTTTGATAGATAATTTATAATATACATTAAATTTGATTTTGTGCTTTATATAATATATTGAAATGATTCAAGTTTCTGATTATATCTCATAATTCTAAACTTACCTTTTAATTTAGTATTTATAATAAAGATAAATTTAAGCTGTATATCTATTGATATAGATATATTAGTAAAGTTAATTTTATTTATCTCAAAATTATCAAAAATCTTTTTAATATAGTAGATCTATAAGACTGTTAAATCATCATTTAATATATATTTAATTTTATTTTAAAATTGTACTTATCTTCTATAATATCTTTTATCTCAAATTTCTTCTATATTTTACTCAATACTTAATTAAAATTCATTCTCTTTGAGGTTTTTAACTTTGCAGTAATCAATATGTAGTGTTAGATGAATTTAATAAATAAAATAAAATAGAAATTCTTTATTATATTTTAAAATTCTAAATTTTAATAATATAAGATACTTTATTACTATAAAATAATATCAGATTTTAACAACTTTTTTCATGTTATACAAACTCTGTCTAAGAAGATCAGTCAGTTTCTCTCTTTTATGTTTAATATATACAGGCAATTATATATATATCATTTCATTTTGTGATAGTACATCATTCAAAAATACTAATATATAATTAATCAACTTTAATTTCTAACCTTTGATAGTTATTATAATAAATATAAAGTAACTTATAAAATCTGAAATGATTATAATATAGAGTTTAAAGTAATGAATACTCTGCTTTTGCAGATATTCTATAATTACTCAGTTGACTCTAAAATAAATTACTTTATTTCTATTATTTAACTTACTATTAAATACTTATTTACTTATTAAGATATTCATCTCAGGTATCTTTTTAATAATAATATATATATTTTTTATTCTTAAATATTTTAACTTTTTTTTTATTATTTTGAGTTAGTTATTTCAATCTAAACTCTTCATTATCTCTGTTAGACTATTCAAATAATCTATAAATATATTTAAAATAGAAATATTATCACTAATAGATATCTCAGATTTATTATTCTTAACTAGCTCTGTTTTACTGAGTAGAAAATTTAATTAATGATATTCTTCAAATTATCATTAATCAATATTTTTAAAATCTTCAGTTTATCTTTTACTAGTTATTCTAGAAGATAGTGATATCAGTCATTTAGAAAATTAATAACATTTAATTTTTTTTATAGTATAAAATTTTTTTTTTATTATCTCAATAGCTTTATTCATAGTATTTATAAATACAGATTATAAGATAAAATCTTTATTAAAAATAATATCTTTAGTAATTTTTAATTTATATTTTTTTGAGTTTTATATATAATATTAATACAATTTTTGATAACTTATCAATCATAACTTTTTATCATTTATCTATAAGTTTATTTATTATTTTTAGATTCTTATTATAAATTTTATACTCTCATTAATAAATTCAATAAACCGATAACTGACCTTCTGTTCAGACTTCAAAAGATATTATTGAACTATTATTTTTGTAGTTAAAAATATTTATTTATGTGAAGAATATATTTATTAATATTAAAGCTATTTATATTACTTAATTTCAAAGTTCTCTGACAAGTTCACTATTAAATAATAGACTTTTTATCTTATTCAGTAGTAATCAGTTCACATAATTTATAGTCATTTAATTGAGATGTATCAGAAGTGATTAATTCATATACTATTTCTCTTTTTGTGTAAAATATATTAAAATTATTACTTTTAAACTTATTATAAGGGGTTGAACCTCTAGATTTGCTCTGGCTGGCTGACTCAGCCTAGTCATTGTTTGCATGTGCGCACATGATCACATTACACGAGCTTGCTTAAGCTTGAGTTCTCATCTTATTCTTTTCTTCCCTTTCTCAAGCAATTCGTCCTTGTTATATAGGAGGACTAGCCTCTAGTTCTTAGAAGCTTAACCCTTTACATTATGAATTGCTTCACTCCTTTCATTGGTAGGCTACTGAGAGTCTTAATTCTGTATCATGAAGCTCAGCAAATGTGCTGACATATGATAGATTATTGAGAGCCTTAAATTCTGCATCATGAAGTTCAGTAATAGCACTGATATATGAATAGACTGAGTTAGCAATCATGCTAACAAATGAATGAGCAATATTGAAAACATCTAGCTGAACAAGATAAAGTGACAGACTTGTACAACAAATATATAAATGAATCAACATTAAGCAATGAGCAAGAATGTCCTCAGCAGCTTTAAACAACAATAAATGATCTTTCTTCAACAGCAGAAACAGA